ATAGAGACTATTAATCATAGGTAATGGAAAACATCAAATGGATTTTAAAGTATAAAACAAATGTATTTACAGTGATTTCCATTTAATATGATTGTTGTTATTGAGTTCTGGACCTCTCAAGTGATTTGTCTGCAGTATGAAATCTGATTTAGCAAATTCATCTTAACCATAATTCATTATATAGTTATTCATATCAAATTTGGCAAATAGAAGAAAAAATTTTAGTGGGTGAAATCTTGAGACATTTATAATAAATCTTCTTTCCATTTCAGGCTTCAGCTCTCCCTGAAATAGAAACTTGTTAGGAAGGATTCATCGTGATTAAATTGTTCTTCACTTAAGAACTTATTTCCTTAAAGTTTTGGCTATTTATAATATTTGATCTCAAAATACTGTTTATAGAGTTATTTTTAAATTTCCTTTTTTTTCTCAAGCTTATAGATTTATAATCCCCAGAGGCTATTTACATCATAATACTCAAAAATTTTAAAAAGTGAGGAAGGAAAAAGTGGGTTAAACTTTTCCTTTGGTGCCATTTGTTGCTTTATAAAAGAGGCTGCCCTAGAATTAGGCACAGGAGAGGCTTAGGGTTGAGATCTTGTTGGGATGGAGGGACTTACTCAGGTGTCACAGTCATATTGCAAACACACCCAGTTTGCTTAAATTTCCTTATTGAACTTGGGAGAGAGGAAGGTGATCAGGCTCACCCTTGGCAGCACCACTGGGAAGCACTTATCCCATTATTTGGTAGTCCTCCCTTATGTGAAGCCCGATTCTGTAACTTCTCATCTTGGATCCACTGTTAAATTTTATGCTCTATGAACTTGTCCCTATCCTCAGATCAATCCTCACAGGGTTCATGGTTAAAGTACTGTCAAAATCATTGCAGCTCACAGACCAAGTCACAAGAATTCATGTCTTCTAGCCTTTGCACATGCAGTGTGTTCTGTTTTGAATGCGTGCCAACCATGATTCCCTCCATCTTTCCAGATTCTTCCCACATATCAAACCCAGGAATCTAGTCATTCTATCTTCTTTGTCCCTAAGCAAACTGTGCATACATTTTCATGTGGCATTTTCACATATCATGGTGGTCTTTTATTTCTATGTATGGTTTCACTGTTGGAATGAATATTACAGATATTAAATGCTATATCTTAATGAACCAATAAAATCCTGACACATAGCACACACTCAGTAAATATCTGATGATCAAACAAATGAACAAACAAGCAGAATAGAATATGTGAATGAATGAGCAAATGAACTAACTCATTTTTTTAAATTTTTTATTGATATGTTAATTGCCATACATTACATCATTAGTTTTTTTTTAAAGATTTTATTTATTTATTTGAGAGAGAGAGAATGAGAGATAGAGAGCACAAGAGGGAAGAGGGTCAGAGGGAAAAGCAGACTCCCTGCTGAGCAGGGAGCCCAATGTGGGACTCGATCCCGGGACTCCAGGATCATGACCTGAGCCGAAGGCAGTCGCTTAACCAACTGAGCCACCCAGGCGCCCACATCATTAATTTTTAATGTAGTGTTCCATGATTCATGGTTTGTGCATAACACCCAGTGCTCTATGCACAACGTGCCCTCTTTAATACCCATCACCAGGCTAACCCCTCCCCTCACCCCCCTCCCCTCTAGAACCCTCAGTTTGTTTTTCAGAGTCCATCATCTCTCATGGTTTGTCTCCCCCTCTGATTTCCCCCCCTTCATTTTTCCCTTCCTGCTATCTTCTTTGTTTTTTTTCTTTACATATATTGCATTTTTTTTCTTTACATATATTGCATTTGTTTCAGAGGTACAGATCTGTGATGCAACAGTCTTAAACAATTCACAGCACTCACCATAGCACATACCCTCCCCAATGTTTATCACCCAGCCACCCCATCCCTCCCACCCCACCCCCACTCCAGCAACCCTCAGTTTGTTTCCTGAGATTAAGAATTCCTCATATCAGTGAGGTCATATGATACATGTCTTTCTCTGATTGACTTATTTTGCTCAGCATAACACCCTCCAGTTCCATCCACGTCATTGCAAATGGCAAGATTGCATTCCTTTTGATGGCTGCAAATATTCCATTGTATTTATATACCACAGCTTCTTTATCCATTCATCTGTCGATGGACATCTTGGCTCTTTCCACAGTTTGGCTATTGTGGACATTGCTGCTATAAACATTGGGGTGCATGTACCCCTTAGGATCCCTACATTTGTATCTTTGGGGTAAATACCCAGTAGTGCAATTGCTAGGTCATATGGTAGCTCTATTTTCAACTGTTTGAGGAACCTCCATACTGTTTTCCAGAGGGGTTGCACCAGCTTGCATTCCCACCAACAGTGTAGGAGTGTTCCCCTTTCTCCACATCCCCACCAACATCCCTCGTTTCCTGACTTAATTTTAGCCATTCTGACTGGTGTGAGGTGGTATCTCATTGAGGTTTTGATTTGGATTTCCCTGATGCCGAGTGATGTTGAGCACTTTTTCATGTGTCTGTTGGCCTGAACTAACTCCTTAAGGGAGATGTGGCAGAGGAGAAATAGCCTGAGTTCTGTCCCTTAGGAATGCTTTTACTTGGCAAATTGTTGCGTGAGGGCACTGAATATATCTGAACCTCTGTCTTCTCCATCTGTTTTTTTTTTTTTTTTCACATATATTTTATTATTTGTTTCAGAGGTACAGGTCTGTGATTCAACAGTCTTGCACAATTCACAGTGCTCACCATAGCACAAGTCTTCTCCATCTGTTAAAGAAGGTTTATGTTTCTACCTCTCTGCAGAGGTTTCTGGTAGATAATACATAAAATCCTGTATGTAAAAGTATAAAGTATTATACAAATATAGGATTTTTTTCACATTCAAAGGCATTATGATATAATCCATGAAAAAAACAACTCCCAACAAATGACATTAAATAAGGAAAAGGAAGAACAAATGCTAAAGAGCAAGAGATCAGATCAAAAGAGGAGTGAGGCCAAAATTTGCTTTATTGTCCTGAGGACCAGACAAAGAAATGTTAACCTAGGGATTCTAAACTGTGGCTGCACATTAGAATTACCTGGGTATTTAAACCATGTTTTTGCCTGAGCTCTAATTCATCTGGTGTGAGGTAGGGCTCAGTTGCTGGTATTTTTTTAAAGCTCCCCAGGTGATTCTAATATACAGCCAGGGTGAGAGCCACTGCCAGGCCACAGGAATTAAAATGTTTCTAGGGACAAACACTGCATAAGACATGAGATGTTTTAAAAAGATTAATCAACATGAGTAGATATGAGGAGAGGCAAGGGACAGGAATGATTACAGTGTCGAGGAAACATCATAGATGATAGTAACTGTTTTAAGGTTGAAGCTTTTTTCTTTAGAAAGCAAAGGAAACCACTGTGGAGAAATATGGAAGATAATCCTTCATAATTAACAGTGATGTTGTTCAGACAAATCTAGGCACATCCCAAGAATTAAACTGGCACAGCAGCGTACACCTAGCAAACTACACCTAGAAGTTACTTAGGTTGGAAGCAGAGGATAAAATGGTTGCTGCTATTTGTTTACCCATGAAAAGTACCTAGAGGAGGTAAGTTTTGAACATGGTTGAAATGATACTGTTTGTACAGAGGACAGGAACAAAATTTTTTTTTTTTTTTTATGCGGAAAGGTTTCTAATAGGGGTTTGGGTTTGAGAGTTATGCCTTCCTAGTCTGTCATATTGCTATTTCCCTTAAACTAACAATGAGATAATTGATTGATATATTTGAAATAGTAATAAAGGGAATCCTAGAATTCTTTTTTGGTGTTTTTACCCCTTTCTGTGTTTAAAATTATTTCAAAATAAGTCTAAAAGAATGTAATATGTTTAAAAACATTTAAATATATAAAATAGTGGTCTTGAGGTGAAAACATACTGAACTTAACACTAACCTAAAAAATTAATTTGCTTTTTAAAATGTCTTTGATAGTCATTTTCTAACATTATTCTTTGGCATGGGGGAAGTAAAACTTCATTAGTTAATTGAAAATTTGCCATACTAGTTTGAGAAAATATTATGTTCCCTACTTATGTCATACAACTATGTTCATATGTTAGTCTTATGAGAGAGGAAAGGTTATATACCAATGGTGAACCTTTTTGGAGGCACAATATTTTTCATTAATGTAGAAGCCTTAGAAATTCCAATGTTATGCTTAATAAAAAACTGGCAATACTTATAAATATTCCTTGCCTTGAATCTAATAAGAGATTTAGGAAAGAAGGAAGCAAGGATAACAGGAAGTGAATAATATCTTATTTTCACATAAAAAATCTTGTGAGGAATGTGGAAAACAACCATTTTAATATTTTCATGGAGAAAGGTCAGGCCTGCACAATTCAAATCCTTTCCAAGTGAACCTGTTTCAAAAAATACTTGATATTTGGTACAGAAGAAAAGTGAAGTAGTATTTCAAGACATTAAACTTTTAGTTTTTCACTTTTGTTTGTTTCAAATATATCATTTATAAAGGCCACGCATGTAGTAGATAAAGTATGAGGCGTGCCCTCGGAAACCTGGGTAGGCAGACCAACCTTGGAAAGAATAGTTTGTATGCCCAATTTTCCTCACCTGTAAGTGGGGATAATAATAATATCTATGTTGAGATGTGTATGATATATATCAAGCTATACCTCACACAAATAGCAGCACCATGTAAGATTTAGCTACTAAAATCATAAGCATAATGGTATGGTTTAAAAAAAGACAGAGTAAAAATAAAATAACTACATTTGAGATTTCTTTAGTTTCACTTAAAACATTCTGACAATTTGTTTATCCTGGGGACACTTTTAATCTTTTTTTTTGGAAAAGTCTCCATGTTAATGCATGGTCCTATGAGTGTGGACCCTTGCTAGTTCAAATGGTACTCCTTTAATTAGACTCTTAGCAAACAACCATGTCGCTCGATAGACAGTCTAAATGTGGAGTAGTTTGTCACAATTATTTGGTAATCTTTTTCAGTGTAACTCACACAGCAAAAGTGACAATATTCCTGTCACTCCTCAGAAATGTCCCAGCTCTGCGGGTTTCCACATTCAGGAGAATGAAGAAAGCCATTACGAGGTATGCTGTATCTCTATAGAGACCATTTTAGTACTGAGCAATTTATATTTTCCTAGTGATTTATATAGTCTGAGTTAACTGTTATAAATATTTTCTTGGCCATCCTCTTTTATGGTCATATTTTTATACTAGAACTTTTTTAAACAACCTAAATGAACAATTTTAGAATAAAAGGCAAATAATATTTTTCCTCTTTGGTAATAGTCCAGCTATTAAATATGATATTCTTGTCATTTAATGCAAAGTGTTGATTATTACCTGGTTTTGGAGAAAGTAATGAGCAACTTTCTTTTGGAGTTAAAGATTCTTAATTGATTCATTTTTATTAGTTGAGCTCAAAGATAGGAACATCCTCTTTGTTGAAAGACTGATTTGTTTAATCCCCTATACTTAAGGAAGATAAAGAAGACAGTGTTGCTCAGTATGAGCAGGTTAACTGGAATTTCCATTAATCATTTCCCTTTTTTTCTACCTTTTCTCAGCTTGATCCTTTATTTCCTTGTATATTTGGATTTAAGATAAAAATTACTTTCCTTTTTTCTTAATGAGTCCATCATTGTAAAATGTAGAAGATCTACATTTTATTCTTTTTTCTTTTTTTTCTTTTTTTTTATATCAGGAGGGCTATTCCAGTACCAATTATTCTAACATGAATGGATGCAAAAATCTGTTATCTTTCTTTTAATATATTAAAATTGTGGTTTAAAAAATGTAACAAAATTTACCATTTTAATCATTTTAAAGTTACAGTTTAGTAGTGTTAAGTATGTTCACATTGTACAATAGAAGATCAATATTTTAAGGAATTGTGTTTCAGTAGTTAACTCTAATATTAATGCATACATATTTGTTTCGTGTATTTTTATAGTTTTAACATAATAGATTATAGATAGATGATGGAGAGATAGGTAGATAATATGTATATGTATATATGTATGTGTGAGTGTTAGTGTTTCCTATGTATTCTGTTTTCTCATTGAAGGTAGGTTTTTTCCCCCCATTTCCTTAAAGGTATTGAAAATATTTTGATTTATTATTAATAGTATGGGATATTTGCACTTGATTTTGCCAAATAAAGAAATCTATCATTCTCAAAACTCTGAGTAGTAATGTAGGTCAGAGAAACTACTTTGATTAATAGAAATTTGATTGAGTAAGCACTTTCTTTTCTAACAAGCTATTAATTGAGGTGGAAAAGGTAAAGTGATAATTTAGACATTTTTATCCCCTAATACTTTCCTTCACATTTTTTCTTTTTCTTTGTGTTGATCTAACTATTCAGAAACATCCTTCTAACCTATAGTATATATTCTTCTTCCTATTTTGCTTTTATTTTCTCTCTTTCTCCAAAATCTCAATCACTTGATAGTTGAAAGAAGACTATAATTTAACCCTTTGATTTTTCATCATTGCTGTGTATATTTCAAGTGTGTAGAACATGAAAATTTCTCCCATGAGTCACCCTTATTTCATCCGATAATAACACAATAACACTCTATGGCAGAAATAAGTAAATTTTGTTCATATATAAAAACCTATGTAAATATTTACAAAGCCCACACAGAATGTTCTGAAAGACATTGAAATCCTGAATATTTCCTTATTTTTTTGTAGAGAATTTAAATGAGCTATAATTAAAATAAGTTTCTATGAACCACATTTTTATTCTTCGTTAGATATTTTATAAGGCACAAAGTACAAGAACACAGTTTGTACAGGGTTTATTTGCTAGAGAATGTGGATAAGAAAAAGATGATACTAGAGTTATCGTGTTGACTTATGAGTAATTATCAAAGAATGGTGAAAGAAATCTACTGTGTTGTATTGATAAACAAAGGAAAACAAACAAATTATTTTAGAAAACTTTTGTCTCACAAATTCTCACTTTACCATCATATTCCAGGCCCATTACAGTCTGGTTTCAGATTAGGTCATCTGGAAGGTCCTATCTCTCTCTAGTGCTCGGTGATACTAAATAAAGATGATGCTATTGACAACTGACACTTTTGTGGTGCCTACTGCATGCCAGGGCCTATGTCAAGCATTTTATGTGTATATTTGGCCATCATTTACATTTTGTCTTTGATGAGTTTAAATTGTATTTCATCATAATATACCTAATTTAGTAAGTATACATTTTTTTTTTAAATGGCAGAAAATCTTTGATGTTTCTTAGAAAATACAACTTGGAAACAGAAGTAAAGCATTCTGTGAGACAGGGTTTCTGCATAAATGCTTAATATCTATAGACCAATAACAAAGGGGATAGTTGCAGTAACCTGTTCCTTAAAAGTTATTAATCTAGTATTAACCATTCTTGAGAATTAATGAGAGGTGATTATAACCTACAAAGTTGGTTCCTGTGCTGTGCTGTTATTTTTTTCCTTTATATTGAATAATGTGGTAAGCCTAGTAAATATATTACACGTTTTTTTAATTTTCTCACCATTTATACCTTCCCTCTTTAATCACCTTACTAAAGTAAAAAAAAAAGAACATGTTACATCTTTTAATCATAGAAAATATTTAATTAACTAAAACTATACTGTTCAAGTAGAAAGTCATACTTTATGTTAACTGATATTGATTAATCTGAATGTAGTTGTATTATGACTTTAGATACAAAATGGAATGAAGGCTGTATGACTAGCGAGCTTTTAATCATTCTGAAATCAGACTTTACCCATCATGCTTAACTTAGATATAACAATTATTGCTTACTTACAGAGAAGTGTTAGTATCAGCTATTGGGTAATTTTTGTACCAGACATTACCCCAAGCATTTCATAGGTATTACCAAACTTTGTCTAATCTAAGATGTTCGGATGTTACTGTATAACATCAGAGTATAACACATGCTATAATTTCATTTACCGCTGGGAAAAATGTCATTGATTAAGCTCTGATAAGTGCTTATTTATAATTTCTTTAATATGTATCCTGCTTTAAGGTATGTTAAAATATAAGAAAGCTTACATATTGAATCATTAAAATATAGCTCATTTAATTCTGACAACAACCGCATATTATTATTCCCATTTTACAGATAGGGAAACTGAGACACACAGACGTTACATAAGTTGCTTGAATTCACACAGGTAGTAATTAATGGAGTTGGAATATTACCATAGCAAAACAGTTTCAGAAACTACAAGTTTACTGCTCTAAGATAGTATCTAAGTCAAAAAAAATTCACAGGCTATTTGGCTGTCAGGGACCATAGAGATTATATATTCATACCACTGAAGCATAACTTGAGGACAAGAAAGATGGAGTAGCTTGCCGTAGGTCACAGAGCTAGCTAGTGATAGCACTAGAATGATATCCAGGTTTTCTGGATCCTGGAGTGATCTAATGATTACCTCCAAGCTGCATAAAAATTTTCCAAGCAAATGTTAGAGAAAATAGTTCATATTTGAAATTTTTCTTAAATTAGATTTTAAATAAGGTGTGGAATATAAAAGAACTCTCATATTTAAGTTTTCTCTTCCTGGCAGGCCTCTGTCATTGGATACACAAAGTGCATTAATGGTTAAAATAGAAGCATAGAAATGAATAAGTGCACATTGTTTTCATGCCATAAATGCATATTACCTTTACTAAGCATCTTTGATCTATAAATTTTATTGTCATTTCCCTTCTATTATGTTCAGTTCCCTTTACCCATGAAATAGCATAGAATGCAAGCAGATAGAGCTTTCAGTGTCTATATTCTGCAATCTGTAGGAAAATGTCTCATAGTTATTGGAATTCACACAAGACTGCATCTCAGTATGAGTAGCTGTTCCCTGTCACTGTTTTTGATGCTTGAGCTAAAGTATTTTTACAAAATGGTCTAGTGTTCAGTGTATGAATTCTTGAGATAAGGCTTTTCCCTTGTAGCCATGAAATCCGAAAATCAATGTCAGATGGAAATCTTAACTCTAAGAGTTAGGGAGATTGGGGGAAGAGTTTTAAAATAAGTATGAATTTTAGCTGCCAGACTTTGGAAATGTGGCAGTTATCGCAAGTGTGAAATTCATGGGTGGTGCAGATGGTTGATCAAGATATCCCAGGATGGACTACTACTATAAATCTCCCAACCAAAACTGGGAAAACAATTTTGATAAGAGAAATGTTTTTGACCTTTTACATAAATTTGTAACACAAGTTTTGCTGGATTAGGAGATACACAGAAGTTAAATTATCATTGGAATTTCATGAACATTCCAATTGTGTCATTTGATGGAAATATTTAATAGAATAAAAATGTGTCAAATGGAGAGTGAAAGGAGCAAGTGGGAAGAGAATAGAACTAAAATGTATTAGACTGTTACTATTATTGTGTGTGTTGCATTTCACGCTCATAACCTCATTTAGGACAGTAGTCTTCTGGGTAAGCATAATTTTCTCACCCTTAAAGATGAAGTTACAGGTACACCTTGAGCTTGAATTTCACTGAACCAAGGGCACACTGAGAGGGAGGAGAACAAGGGTTCTCCATATTTGTAACTGCAGCTTAGAACCCTCCTGTTTAAATTAATAATACCAAATGGAGTAACAGCAAAATGGTAACATTATCTGTTACTTTCTATTAAAAAGGGAAAGCTGTCTCTCTCTCTCTGTCAAATAAATAAAATCTTTAAAAAAAAGGGAAAGATGAAAAGCCTTTTGCCTTTGTCTCACTTGATCTTGGTCTTTCCTTTCCTTTTTTCTTTTCTGTACCTGTCACAGATTAACCTTAACTAAATAGATCTAAATAAATAGAACTTAATATATGAATATTATACTACATACTTACATTTTCTTGTTTTTGGTGTTTTATACAGTTGTGTGACCCAAACACATTTAACTTCCAATAAAATAAACATGTTCAGTCCTTAGAATAGATATTACAGTTGATATCAGCTTTTAAGTTAAAATAATAGGCAAATCATTTAGCAATAAGTCTTTATGTGTTACAATATTTGGGAGTAATATAGGTAATTTAAATTAATAGATTTTCACTAATAATAATAAAT